TCCCTCTGTGGGTGTTATTACTGAGTGCTACCTCACTTTCCATCAGCCCTGGTAGGAGACCACCCTATTGAGGGCTGAAAAAAGCTCAAAGATTCTGGTCTTCCCCCAAAAGAACTCTATAAGAGGAACAGAAGACATGTACTGCCTCGGCTCGAAGTCAAGCACTCGGACAGAATTCTATCCCGAGCCGTTATTCCCTGCAGAAGAGGGGTGGGATAACATGTCCTCCACTCTCCTGTCTTGCACTGGCGGAGAGCTTTTTTGTGTGTGCCATGTCTACCCCTTTCTCTGTGGAGTAAGTGCTCAGTTCTCAGCAAAGGACATATTGGAACGGACAGCCTCACCACTGTGTATATAATATGTCATGGCTGACAGATGAAGAAATGGGATTTCTTGAAATGCAACGGAATAGAGCTGTCAGCGCAGGCTGGAGGAGAGGCTTCTTAGGAGGACCCCTGTGGAAGAGCTGCAGCTTGGTGCTCTGCCCCTGCTCTGAGGCCCTTCTTAGTGGCTGCTCTAAAGCACCATTTCTTCCCATTACTCCTGATCCTTTGTTGTGCTTCCCTTTTGTCCGCCCTGCCCTTGACTGCAGTGCTCTCCCAGCAGGGCAAATTGCAGCTGAATTGGGGGAACAATAAGACCAGGCAGTGATCCAGGTGGAGGCACCAGGCACTGGCCTGCTGAACTATGTGACTTTCCGCTGCTTGGACCTGGGTGTGAGTGAGCAGGCCTCACCTTTCCCTGGCCAGGGTGGAAGCTGCCCCCTGATGGTCCCATGGTCTCCTCAAAGGCAGATTTACTGGGAAAGTCTAACCGTTAACTGAAGCTGGGGAGAATGCATAGTACACATTGTATGGAAGGAGGAGTTCCCTTACAAGCAAGCACTTTAGCCTTAAGGGATTAAAACACAAACCTCATTGCCTCAGGGACCATTCCGTATCAGAAAGACCACAGAGGACAGAGTGACACAGTCCCATGGGGTTTCCATGACTGTTCTATGTAATGAAGTAAACTGCCACATCGCTCTCCCATGGATTGGCTGGTCAGTTCAAACCACCGACCTTTCCCCTTAGCAGCTGAAGACAAAACCAGGCTTTGTGTGCGCGCGCGCGTGTGTGTGTGTGTGTGTGTGTGTGTGTGTGTGTGTGTGGACACTTAATGCATTGCAGCACCCCAGTTTCCTTATGAGTCATTATCAAGCAAAAGATGGGTGACATGTTGTCTTGTGTGGGCAGCCACGCATTTCGCCATCACAATAGGCCCGTTATCCATGCTTGTATTTGTTCATTCATTCATACTACAGATGTTTACTGAGAACTTATGGGTATTTGGGTTTGTGGTAGGCACTGGGATTAAGAAGATTAATACGGCAGTATCTGACCTCAAAGTACTTATAGTCTAGGAGAGGTAGGCAGAAGCAAAACACAAATAAATGTCACATAGGATTATCAGGGCTGTGAGAGATGCCTGTGGAAGATAAGAGCACGTGCAGAAGGGTTGGCATAAGAAATGAGGCTGAACCGGTGACTGAGTTTTCAGAGAATGTGTTGCAATACACAGGCCATTCGTCTCACTAATGATAAAAGGAAATCCCCGTAGTAAAATGTCTGTCTTTTCATTCACTCAATAAGTGATGAGGAAGTGCCTACTATGTGCCTGATGCTAGGCTTGGTGCCTCCACCTCATTATACACAGGCTAAAAGGGGAGACAGGCAATAATGCAATTAGCACAGAAATCAGATTTCAAGTGAACCCCGATAAAGACAACCAGGATGAGATAGGTGGTTTCAAGAAAGCTGACGAGAGGTGTGTTACCTTCAGCTCTGTGGCATGGAGCTGATAGGAGAACATGAGCACCAAGCACCAAAAATAAGATAAAACAATAGAGAAAACCTTTCAAACGTCAAAGACCAAGACTTCAAGTCTGGCTTTAGCCTGAAGATCCATTGCGGTGTCAGTTTCCAGAGCTGGAAAGCTAAAGAGATTAAAAGGATTGTTGTCACTTCGGGGTCTAAAGCATGCCTCACCCAAGCCACGTGCTTCTGGTTGCCTGTATGTGTGGAAAAGCTGGACAATGAGTACTAAAGCCCCAAGAGGAGCTGATGCCTTCAAATTATGATGTTGGCAGAGAATATTGGGTGTAGTGCGGACGACCCAAAGCGTGAGCAGATCTGCCTAGAAAAGCATACAGCCAGCATGCTGCTTAGAAGCATGACTGGTGAACCCTGGTCTCATGTACTTTGGACACGTTATCAGGAAGGACCCGTACCTGGAGAAGGACATCATGTGTGGTAAAGGACATCCTGTGTGGATGGTCTGCAAAAAAGAAGAAGAGCCTCAATGAGATGGATTAACACAGTGGCTGCAACAATGGGCTTTTCAACCACGGCATTGATTGTGGGGAGAGAACAGATTCGGGTAGTGTGTGGCTCCGTTATAGGTAGCATTATTAGTGTTAGCTAATCAAAGCAAACTCAATAACAGCAAATGGGACTACAGAACCTGTTTCATCCAGGTTCAGAACAGTAGACGCTACCTTCTGTCCAACTGCAATTTTAAGACAGTAGGACTTTCAAAAAATATCCTAGTGTGAGTACTAAATCCTAATGCTCGGTTGCTAACCGATGAGTCAGTGGTTCCAGTCCACCCAGTGACTCTGCAGGAAAACCCTGTGGTAGTTGTGGCTTCTATAAAGATTTCAGTCATGGAACCCCGATGGGGCAATTTCACTCTGCCCTTTAGGGTCATTATGAGTCCGAATGAACTCAATGGCAGTAGATAGTTAGTCTCCAAGCCCCCCTTCCAGGCCTGTTACCCTGTGAGCATAAGTGCACTGCCAATTAAAGTCCCCAAAATAATGACAACATTAAGAAAGCCCAGATTCATCAAAGATACTGGAGTAGCATTTAGCAATCTCAACAATATCAACGCCGACTAAAAGTTCTGAATTTTTACTCCCGAAATGGAATAGCAACCTGTCTCCCCAGCAAAATCCCTACTAAACAAAGTCGAGTGGCAAGGCTCATTTTTCACATTTTAAAAACAGGGGGTGCCCCTACTCTAAACTGTACCATAAAGGAAACTTAGACAAAACATTTTTTTTCTTAAAATTTTCTTCTTGGGATTTATGGATTTAACTCGAGAAAGCTATAGTGCAATACTTAACAACAACCTAGTTTATTGTTGCAAAGATAAACAGAATTTCACAAGAAGTTAGAGAAACAGAATATAGCTCAAGGGAATCCAGGAAACCCTGGTAGCATAAGTACATTGCATTCTACCCTCAGCGCTTTCTACGTTCTACATTTGACTCTTACCAAGGAGTGTAAAATATATTTTTTGATCAAGAATAATTCTGTAGCCTCAATGACACATAGATAGAGAAAAATGGGTGGGTGGATAGGTGGTTAGGTGGAAGGACAGGTGGATGGAAAGAAGGATGGACAAACAGGCAGGTAGAGAGACAGAGAGATGCCAGATGATGGATAGCTAGATTAGATCGATGGATCGATAAATAGATAGATAAGCAGGCAAATCAATAGATAGATAGACATATACACAGACAAATAGGTAAAATATTACAGATTAAAATTTCTGAGATGTATTAGGGATATTATTGAAAGCTCTCTTTAGTAATATTTCCCCTTTTGCAACATTTCCCCTTTTGCAAACTTCTTGTTTTCTACATAAAGTAGGACTTTCCGTAACCATTTAAGGAATATCACTTTGAAATAAGAGCATAGCTTAAAATCCATCAGGAACAATGTGAGCATATCTATATCAAAAATAGTTTTATTACTTCAGCAAGGTGTGTTCACCTCTCTGTTCTCTTTATGGTTTTACAGACTATGTAGTGCCCTGAGCACCAGGCTCCAGTGCTCCTCACTACAGACTCAGTCCTCAGGCAGATGCTGAAGGGCGAAGACATTCACTTGGAGTCAGTGTGGAGGAGGACACTGCTAATGATGTTCAGAGGAGTGGTCTCAAATGACAATGACTTTTTATCCTTCCAGTTTTTCCCAGTAAACACAGGGACCTTTTGAGAACATCAAAGCATTGCCTCATGAGAGCAACAAATACCTCCTAAGAGCCCTGGTGGCATAGTGGGTTACACTTTGGGCTGCTAGCTGCAAGGTCAGCAGTTCGAAACCACCAGTCGCTCTGAGGGAGAAGAATGAGGCTTTTCACTCCTGCAAAGACTTAACAGTCTCGGAAACCCACAGGGACAGTTCTATGCTGTCCTATAGGGTTGAAGTGAGTTGGAATCTACCGGAGGCAGAGTTGGTTTGGTTTTGAGAGATGCATGGATCTGTTTCAGGGGCTAGCACAGTAGCACACTGCAGCCACCAAAGAGGGGCAGACTCTGGACATGTTTTCTATATTTCTTCCTCTTCATCCTCCTGCTCTTGATTGGCTGCCATGCAGTTTTCCTGTTTCCCACCTCCATTCCTCCCCATGTACCATTGTAGTTGTTCCTTGGGGTTCCCATAGAAGGAGATGCTTGTGTAAGCCCGGAGGCATTAGCGAACATGCAGGTTGAAATAAACTGACCTGGGAGGAAGCAGGGGGCAGAAAGAAGAGGCACCTTGCAGACCGCAAAAGAACACCGGGACTTGGGAAGTCTGAGGTCTCTCCTTGGCTCCTCTCCCTTGTGCAGGACTCTTTGCTCTGCAGGCCTCAGCCTCCTCATTGATCAGACAAAAGGTATCCTTCCTTCTGATTCTGAAAGTGTATTACTTCAGAATATGTCCATTTTCTTGTTTTTTAAACCAAAGAGAGAGAAAGGGTGATTAAAGCTTCTGTATGCATGTTTAAAAGTAGTACCTTTTTTTTAAGCACTACAACTGAGAAACCCCGTGTAAAGCACTCGGGCGCAGAAGCAAGCTGACAACACAGCTATTTGTTCATAACTTCCAAAGAATTACCCCTGTGGACGCTTAACTTGCAAACAGCACCACGTCGCTCATGTGTGTTTCTCTCTTTCTTTCCCTCCCCTGTAGGCTTATGAGCGGCCACAGAAACACTCAACTCTCCATTATGAGCCAGGCCTCCCACAGGACTTCACCGGTGACACCTTAAAACCAAAGCACCAGCAAAAAAGCAGCAGCCAGAACCATGTGGACTGGTCCCCCACCTCCGACAGTGGACCCACCAATCAGAATTGCTTCATCAGTTCAGACTCGGGCCGAGAACCTCCAAGCACCAGCAAGATCCCAGCTCTTGAGCCCATGACTTCCTTTGCAAAGTCCCAGGGGAAGAAAGGCAGCGCAGGGAGCACGTGGAGCCAGCTGTCCAGCAGTGGCAAAGATCTGCTTTTGGGAGGCGTTGTTCCATCGCCAGGCAGCCACAGCTCACCAGCCCCACCCAGCAGCTCTGCAGAGTGCAGCGGGCATCAGCCCTTGGGGGACCCAGATGGAGGCGGGACGAAAGACCCCCCAGAACCACCTACTCTCAGCAGCAAGAAAAAGTCCAGCAAGAAAGACGTGATGAGTCAGATCCTACCAACCACAGACCTAGACTGGGTCAAGAATGGTCAGAAAGCATTTGACACCGCCGAGGGGAAGAGGGAAGGCTTCCCCACCGATCATGCCCAAGAGGCGTCACCAGCGAGGCAGAGCATGAGTTCTGTCAGTAATCCTGAGAGTGAGTCCAGTCATGTCCGCATTACCATTCCCATCAAGGCTCCCTCGTTAGACCCAGCCAGCCATAAGAAGAAAAAGAGACAGTCCATCAAAGCAGTGGTAGAAAAGATGATCCCCGAGAAAGCCCTGGTTTCTGGAATGTCGATGAGCAGTGAAGTCGTTAGCAGGATTCTTTCCAGCCCCGAGGGCAGTAAGAAAGATCCTCGCATCCCAAAGTTGAGTAAAATGATCGAGAGCGCGTCTCCTGCTTCACTGGGCCTGGAGACTGGTGGAAATGCCGAGAAAGGGGTGGTCTCGGGCGGTGTGCCTAAGCAGAAGAAGCCGCCCATGGTCCTGACGGCGCCAACGTGCACAGATCTCGCTCCCTCGAGAAAGCTGCCAGAACTGCAGCATCCCAAATTTGCTGCAAAACGGAGGTGGACGTGCAGCAAACCCAAGGCCACCAGTCTGCTCCGGGAGGCCGTCATGGTCACGTCGGACAAGCTGATGGTGGAACCCCCGTCTGCCTACCCCATCACCCCATCCAGCCCTCTGTACACCAACACAGACAGTCTGACTGTGATCACGCCGGTCAAGAAGAAAAGGGGACGGCCGAAGAAGCAGCCTTTGCTCACCGTGGAGACAATTCACGAGGGCACGTCCACGAGTCCCGTGAGTCCCATCAGCCGGGAGTTTCCTGGCACCAAGAAACGAAAGAGACGGCGCAATTTAGCTAAGTTGGCCCAACTGGTGCCCGGAGAGGACAAGCCCATGAGTGAGATGAAATTCCACAAAAAGGTTGGAAAGCTGGGTGTGTTGGATAAGAAGACCATCAAGACGATCAATAAGATGAAGACCCTCAAGAGAAAAAATATCTTGAACCAGATCTTGTCCTGCTCCAGCCACATAGCTCTGAAAGCCAAAACACCCCCTGAGACCAGTCCGGCCGGGGCAGCGGCGATCGAGAGCAAACTGGGCAAGCAGATTAACGTCAGTAAGAGAGGAACCATCTACATCGGCAAGAAGAGAGGCAGGAAGCCCAGAGCAGAGCTGCCACCCCCATCGGAGGAACCCAAAACAGCCATCAAGCACCCGAGGCCTATCTCCAGCCAGCCGGACATTCCAGCCGTGCCTTCCAACTTTCAGTCCCTTGTGGCGTCTTCACCAGCAGCTATGCACCCACTCGCAGCCCAGTTGGGTGGGTCCAATGGCAACCTGAGCCCAGCCAGCACCGAAACCAATTTTTCCGAGTTGAAAACTATGCCAAATCTCCAGCCCATCAGTGCTCTTCCAACCAAAATGCAAAAAGGAATTCACAGTGGAACCTGGAAGCTGTCCCCGCCCCGGCTGATGGCCAACTCGCCTTCCCACCTGTGCGAGCTCGGGTCCCTCAAGGAAATCACTCTGTCCCCCGTGAGCGAGTCGCACAGCGAGGAGACCATCCCGAGCGACAGCGGCATCGGGACGGACAACAACAGCACATCCGACCAAGCGGAGAAGAGCTCCGAATCCCGGAGGCGGTACTCTTTTGACTTCTGCGCCCTGGACAACCCGGAGGCCATCCCGTCCGACACCAGCACAAAAACCCGGCATGGCCACCGGCAGAAGCATCTCCTCGTGGACAACTTCCTGGCCCACGAGAGCCTCAAGAAGCCAAAGCACAAACGGAAGCGGAAAAGCCTGCAGAAGCGCGACGACCTGCAGTTCCTGGCCGACCTGGAGGAGCTCATCAGCAAGTTCCAGGTGTTCCGGATCTCCCACCGGAGCTACACCTTCTACCACGAGAACCCGTACCCCAGCATTTTCCGGATCAACTTCGATCACTGCTACCCGGTGCCATACATCCAATATGACCCGTTGCTCTATCTTCGCAGGACGTCGGATTTGAAGTCCAAGAAGAAGCGTGGTAGGCCCGCGAAAACCAATGACACCATGACAAAGGTGCCTTTTTTACAAGGGTTCAGCTACCCTATTCCCAGTGGGAGTTACTATGCACCCTATGGAATGCCTTACACATCATTGCCTATGATGAACCTCGGTTACTACGGTCAGTACCCAGCGCCTCTCTACCTGTCGCACACGCTGGGGGCGGCTTCCCCGTTCATGAGGCCCACGGTGCCGCCGCCGCAGTTCCACACGGGCTCCCACCTGAAGATGTCTGGCACGGCGAAGCATAAAGCAAAGCATGCAGTCCACCTGCAGGGGCCTGTGGGCATGGGCCTCGGGGACATGCAGGCATCCCTGAATCCGCCCAAGGTGGGCAGCGCCGGTCTGTCCGGCGGCCGGCTCCACAAGAGGAAACACAAACACAAGCATAAGCACAAGGAAGACCGGCTCCTGGGCGCCCACGACAACCTGAGCGGTCTATTCGCAGGCAAAGCCGCGGGCTTCTCCAGCCACCTCCTGAGCGAGCGGCTGAGCGGCGCAGACAAAGAGCTCCCGCTGGTGAGCGAGAAGAGCAAGCATAAAGAGAAGCAGAAGCACCCGCACAGTGACGCCAGCCACAAAACGGCTAAAAGCAACTTCGAGGTGGACACCCTGTCCACGCTGTCCCTCTCGGATGCCCAGCATTGGACGCAGCCCAAGGACAAAGGTGACTTGAGTGGTGAGCCTGCGGACTCCTGCCCAAAGCGCTACTCGGGCGGCAGTGGGGATGGTGGCAGTGCAAGATCAGAGAGCCTGGATGTGTTTGGTGAGATGAACCCTGCCAGTGACAAGTGGGACGGCGAGGTGAGCGGGAGTAAAAGGAGGCCCTACGAAGGCTTTGGGACCTACAGGGAGAAGGACCTCCAGGCCTTCAAGATGAGTCGCAAGGACAGAAGTTCGTATGAGTCCTCCATGTCTCCAGGTAAGTGCTCCTTTCCTGTCGTTTCATTGTGGAGCTCCACGCTGCCGAGGTCAGATCGCCAATTCACTAGTTTGGAAATGGGTCTCCTTAGGCAGTTAACTTGGCTGCACATGGTATTGATGCTCAGCTTGGTTTCTTCTCTGCTAGAGCCATGGCTTGTGAAACTGTAGGCCTAGAGGCAGCCTCAGTAGCTGCCCAGACTACTACATCCATTCTTTTGTCCAAGATGCTATTCTTGGGTCTTCATTGGATCCAAGGATACAGTTTGCTAATTGAGTAGAACCTCCAGGAAATCCTACTGGCACCATCAACCAGATCCCCAGTAGGCCCAAACTGGAAAGGAGTGAATTCCTGGCTTCTCCAACGTGGAGTCTAAAGCAGGGGCATTGGAAGAGGATGGGCAATGGTGAATGAGCGCTTAACTGATCAGGGGGCCCTGCCACAGGCTACATGGTCCTCTCTTTGTCCGTGGCATTTGGCATAGTGGCCAGAGCAGGTCCTTTAAGGGAAGTCCTCAGTCCATTCAGGTGCTCATCATTCCCCTGGCCTGGAGAGCAGGTGCCTGGCCGGAAGCTGTAGACACCCCTCCTTGTCCTCACTAGCCCTCACTACTCTGTCACTTGGTATGTCCACTAGAAATGGGATCTTGCTGCCAATCTCTAAACCGAAGTGTTACTTGTTCCTAGAAAGATCCCATCCCTTGCCACTTGCTGGCATTATCGCCTTGCTAGTCTCCCCACCCAGGCAAACCCTTCCCTGCCCTGGGAACCTCACGCTTGTATATTCCTTTGTCACCCTCAACATACCATACAGATGATAAAATCCTGATAGAAGAATAAGACAGTGATTTCCCAGGGGGATAAAAAGTATTAGAAACCCTATTCTGAGCAGTTGGAAAAGCTCAAAGAAATGTTCCCTGTCCCCCTGACCTCTAGTGATCCTAAAGCCTCTGGCCAAAGTGTGGTTTGCAGTGGTTCCCCACCTTCCTAATGCCGCGACCCTTTTAAGACAGTTCCTCATGTTGTGGTGACTCCCCAACCATGAAATTATTTTTGTTCCTACTTCATCACTGTCATTTTGCTACTGTTATGAATCGGGCAACCCCCAAAGGGGTCGCAATTGAGACAGGTTGAGAACCGCTATTGTACAGGAGAGTCAGTCATGTTTCAGCATCAGGGATGGTGCTTCCTCTCCATTTACCATGTGCGGCTTGACTTGTCCTCTACCTCTGGCGGGAATTCCAGAGTTATCGAAGGTGAAAATAGTCTATTCACGAGGAATGTGAGACCTTCCCTCGTTCAGAGAATTTCAAGGAGGAGTAGGGTTATGGGTTCGAAGGCGCTTACGTATTGCAACTGGCTCATTCGTGGTGTTGGCAGAGGGGCTCCTTTGTTCCTAAAGAGATCAACTGGCACGGATGTGGCCTGCATGGCCCCAAGTGGATAGGCACATCTAGGTTTCTAGTTTCTTATTCTCACATCTTGTTCTAGGCTGTTGGTATTGTGCAAAGCCCGGGTTAAGCCCACTTGGACAGGAGGCATGAAAAACACTGTAGATTTCTCTCTCAGTGTGCTGGTGCTGGCCCACAGGATCCATGCAAGCTATGGGCAAAGGGTGTGCCAGGTAGCACCTGGTAAGCTAAAACCTTCCATAACAGACCTGAGAGAACGAAGACTCAGAAGCTGGCATCGCTTTTTCTGGGCACCAGGTTTCTTGGTAGATGTCTGGGCTCTCTCATTGGGGTGGGACTGTACTGCCCAGTGGTGGTTGACTTCAAAGCATGTCCCTGAGGGTGACCCTGTTTTAGCCACAGCACTCCCCCTGTGGTAGCAACCACAAGACAGCCATCGCTTGATTCAAAATGTCATCTCTCTCATCTTCTCGTTTGACCTCCAGTTGCCTGCAGTGGGCAAAAGGAGGATGTGGGATAATGTCTTGAAAGAAAAAGCTGCGTGCATGAAGGGCTAGGTATGAGACCCCGCCCTATTCTACACTCTCTTGGGGGCCTGCCTCCAGCTGAGACTTGAGGATTTGAGCCCACATCTGTCCTTGCGCGTGCTTCACTTCTTGCAAACCACTTCCAATACACTTCTGCATAACACCCTCCCTGCGATCGAAGAAGATAGGTGTGTATCCATTTCTATTTTCTAGATAGGACACTGAGGTGCAAAGAGGTCAAGAAGAGCTGCCGAGATTTAGAAAGCCACCACTTTGGAATCAAAGCTCAGGGCTTTCCCAAGAGCCTCAGAGCTAGACTGCACCTTCTAGACCATGTCTACAAGGCAGGCCTGCTTCCCAGCCCCATGCTCCTCGGTTCCACCCTTCCTCTCAGAATCACATCCATCCTCTGATTACATGTCTTTCCCTAAGGCGTCTGCAGCACAGTAATTATATGATGATTACAGAAGAGAGTAATTAAGGGAAGAAGGCATTGCTTTACTCAACCCTCAACCGAGGAAGAAAGATTTCCGATGGCCTAACCTTTTCTAAGCACCAGCCTAGAAAGATCTATGTGGATCGAGCTTTCACTCTGTCCTCACCAAAATCCAGCTCCCGGAAGGTTTTGCCACTGCTTTGGGCTTCACTTACTATTATGTAAGATTTCTCGCCTTTTGATGAATCATAATTGCTGGTGGATTCTATTTATATGGCTATATAAGCTGTGCCCAATGTATAATCATGCTGAAAACTGGAGAAGACTGGATTCTCTGTCCTTTCCCTGCTTCCAAGTCTTGACGTCTCCTTGCTTATATCCTCAAATACCCGCTTCAGTGTTCCGGAGCCCTCATGGAAGGAAGGTGAAAATGTCTTTAGCAGCATGGAGAACCCAGTGTCAGGATTACTCAGAGTGCCAAGTCCCATAAAAGATGGTGGGCGGATGGGGAATGCTGACTGGAAGTGCTGTAACCTTTGGGGGACTTTATCTGCACTTCAGCTGTATCCATTTCAGCTGGATGATTCTGGGGCCATCAATGGAAATGGGCATCTGTCCTTCGCATAACCTTCTCCCCCTGCCCCGTTTCCTTATCTCCTCTGGATTGTCTCCCAACTGAATGTCATGGTCCTCCCTGAAGTAGATACAGCATGTAGCTCTGTCATCCTCTAGCCTGGTGAAGACCAGATTTAGGAGCTGAGTCAAGTGTGGGTTTTAAGCACTCTGGGATCCGAGCGGCTGAAAGGCACCCTAGAAATGCCAGTCATTAGCATTATGGGGAGAGAAATTAGGGGGCCCATTTAGCAATCACGGCCGTTGCACACTCCATGGCTCATTCCTGATTGGAAAACCATTCACTCTCTCTCTCCCCCATCCCCCATCTCTCCCTCCCCCAGCCTAGCAGATGGCTATGTTGTTTTGTTAGTCCCCTTACAACACAAGTGGGACATCACAGCTATACAGACCCCTTACCGTTTGTTTGTTTGTTATTGCATTCTGCTTTTGTGACTTTAGAAGGCAGTGATTCTTTTGGCCAATTTGTTAAATACACACAAGCTACTAAATCACTACATCTTCCTTTAGTCACGTGCTTCCCTGGCATCCGCAAATGAAGGCACAGTTGTTGTGAAGCGGCTCCTGCTCAGGTGACTCGATGTCCAACAGAATGAGAACTCGCCTGGCCCTTCATCACCATGGGCATGCTCAAGTCCCACGTTGCAGATATGGGCATGTGGGGTGCATTCTAGGCTAGGCGGATTCTCTTCCAGCACTGTAGAAGGCATTGTTCTGAGGTTCTCAGTGGTTGGCTCTCAAGAGTCTGTCTCTAGGCCATTCATAACCGTTTCTCCTAGTCTGGAAGCTCTGCTGAAACCTGCCCCACCTGGGTGACCCAGCTGGCATTTGCCACGCTAGTGGCATGGCTTCCCGTGTCATAGGAACACACGAACGCTGTAGTCTGACAAGTGGACTGGCAGACGGAGGGGATACATCATAGGAAGATGCAATCCACAAACCCTCCAGGATGCAAGAAGCTTTACTGGGCCCGTGTCAAGCCCTTCTCCTAGCAGCCATTGCCTCGCCATCTCTCGCACCCTGACAAGCATCAGCATCCCAGAAGAGCAAACATATCCAGAGGTAATAACTCACAGTCAGTGGGAGGTCATGAGCCCACAAAGCCCACGTCTCAGAAGGTGGCAGAAGAGGTCTCTAATCTGACTGATCATCTTGCAGATCAGACTATTTGAAACAGCCTGTGTGTGCTTTGACCTCAAATTACGTCAAGCTCTTCAGACACCCTGACAGGTGCTGTCAAAGCTCCCAGTAGTGAGCAGAGTAAACTTACATGCATTACCTTCTTGCCCAAAACCATGATGAGACAAGGTCGCCATCCCGAATCCCTGGCTGTCAGGTTCTTTCCTCCTGATGAATGGTTGCTGAAAGTTCATCCTGAGCTCACCTCCCAGATTTCAGAACCTGCCGTGGAGGTAGTTGGATTCCCTTGAGCTTGTCTGACTCCACCGCTTTGCCGGCTTTGCCGGCTCCGCTTATCAGCGCTGTGGGGCACTTTAGGAAGTGGTCTCCGCTCTCACTCACTGACAGGAACTAGAGGCCCAAGCCAAAACTAATACAAAAACCCCATCCGAGCAGTCACCCAGATGAGGGAATTAGCCACATAGGCAAAATGTCAAGAAACTGATACAAAAGAAGCGGATTCTAAAAATGGACTAGATGGGAGACAACGACTCATGGGAGAAGGTTAGGACCAGGAAAGAAGGAAGAGTGAGAAATGGCAGGCTGATGAAGTGATGCCTGTTTAACCTTAATCTAAGCTGCATTCCGGGCCATCCTGTGGGAGGAAGTGCAAGATGAATTGCCTAATGGCCCTTGTATGTGGTTTAGCAGCATGAAGAACACCTGCCCCAACCTTGGCTTCTCTACTAAGCCGAGGAACAACCTCTTCATCTTCTATGTGCGCTTTTCCCAAATGAGGATCAGACGGCCCTGATCGTATCTGATATTCTAGAACTCTCCAAGTCTCAAGTTCATCCCGTGGAATGTCACTGAG